ACCTTCAGTCATACACCTTGGACTGAGTTACCTACTGGACTATAAAGCAGTATTAATCACTAATGTGGCTGGTGGCTGTAACACAGAGCTCTGAAGGTGGTTAGACACAGAGGCAGTGTTTAAAGAAACTTAAGATGAGTCATAGTAGAGCCCATTTGCTTTAAGGCAGTTGAAATGAGAGTCACTGTGATCCTGGTGGGGTATAATCAATGCATGGATAAATACAGACAATTTTATTGAGAAACAATGCTCCTGACTTTGTTCCTGTGATAGTTGTTTCTCACTCTGAAAAATGAGTCACTTATTCATTTTTATTCATTAACTCATGGCTGAGCAGCGATGGACACAAACGTCTGCCCTCAAGGAGAACCAATGTAACCCAATGCTTTCCTTCCTTGTAGGACAAAAGCAGCCTGGGCCAGAAAATGATTTGTCATCTTATTTCTTGGTCTAAAATAAGTTATTACATGAAACCATAGACAGTCAAACAGTAACTTGGGCCATATGAGGATTAAACAAGTCATATAACTGGATATGATCCATAGTAGTGATGTGCTGTGGGACGTGTATTCAAACACAAGGTCTCAAAAGAAACTGATATAGGAAGGCAGACTAACACATAAAACACAGTCAGTTAAAGACGGGGACAGAAAGACTGGACTAAGATGTTTCACAGTAACATGGTTCTCTCTTGGCTCTTTCCCTCATTATGTGCCAGATGAAGGAGTGCACTTGACCTTGCACATGTTTTCAGTTTGACTGTTTCCTCACGTCCTCCTCTCACCTCCCTCCCCCCTTCGTCCCTGGGGCATGATCTGGCCCTGTGCGCGTCCATTTAAAATGACCCTCCACCTTCCTGCCCCTGCCACACTGCACCTTTACCCCTGCTCAAATGGTTAGTGTGTGTGTGTGTGTGTGGGCATGAGCATTTGCCTTCAAAGTCAAGTGCATTATTGTGTGCAGAATTTATGATAATCCTCTGTAGCGCTCCTGTGCGGCGTAAGCCCCTCGAGCCCCTTTTTACCTTTTACCTCCAGGACAACACACGTTTGCTGAGCTCCATCTTACCCAAGGATCTGCCCAGATGCACAAAAGACAGACAGCTCAGACAGAGTGGGAGAGTGGGGGGTCAGTTAAAACCAGCTGAAGAGAAGAAGTTATGAAAGACTTCTTCAAAATGGCAACAGCTTAGTGTTTCCCTGCACAGCAGTGCTACTCTCCAGGTCTCTGCATGCACGTCCACACACTCCTGCTCAGATGAAACCCTCCTCTTCTCACTTTACTTCCCTTATGTCCTATTTCCCACTTTCCTTTCCTACATAGTCCTACAATTTTGCAGTATATCACTAAAATCCAGAACACAGCTTCTAAAATGTAGGATACATCTATGAGGGGTCACAGAATATACTGGCAGTGCCTCATGCTGGAACGTGGAGAAAGGCTCCATGACAAATAAACAGTACCGTGTCGGACAGCAACCACCATCTCTCATTTAAAGCCAGGAATTCTAAACAGATGTCTTTATGCATTTGCTTGCACAACAGCAAGTGTAGTCGTGTGTTTGGACATGGGAAACTGAAGTGAGGGTTCACACTAGGTTCTGCAGGGATGAGAATACTGCACCTCTGTGGTAATCGAAATGGCCACGCTCCAACCATAACACTGATCCCCAGGACTCTACACAACACACACACACACAAACGAATAAATTTCTGTTCATGCACTCAGAAAAACTTTCAGGTAATCATCTCCATATTTGTTTTTCTTTGCATTCATATTTCTCTCTTTATATGGTTTCATAAAAACAATGTCAAGGCTCTCAAACCAGGTTAAATAAGTGATTTTTGGAAAACCCACTCGGAGGGCCCCGCACAAAGTGCAGTGGGCGTCTGTACCATGTCACAGATTATACGGGAGGCTTCTGCCAAAAACACAATGAAACCCCGGACTCTCCCGATCTGCAGTCATTGTGGTTTCACCTCAGTAAAAGGATCATTTTGATTCATTGGACGTACCAATAATTAAACATATTGGATCCAAGTATTAGCACAAATAGCATACTCAATCCATCAACTGTCACAAATCACCACCTTAGAAACAGGGCCCCAGCAATGAGCCTGGAGCTTTTATAAATAAAGCATTTTTCTAATTTATCTACCTCATATAATTAAACATGATCCCATCTGGTCTGTGCACACCACAGGGCAGTTAAATAAAATCTATCTGAGACTTTGGGGCAGGGGGGGGAATTAACCACCACATTTGCAAGTGTGCAAAAGAATGATGTTTCTACCCCTTTACTTGCAATGTAGTAAAATCAGCAGGACGCCTTGAATTTAGGACGAGATGAAAGCAGAAAAAACAAGGAGAAACATGCGTCACAGTCGGTTCTGGGGCTCGGAGAAGGAGTACATACTGAGCCAGTACACAGAGCCACTTTAATTGTTAGTGTGAAAAATAAAACCCTACTAATACCAGCTAAATCCTGTTTATATTAAATATGCGAGGTGTTTCTTTTATAGCATATGGAGAACTGGTTCTAATCATCTTTCAAAAATCCATGAGCCCTTGGAATGCACCTGTAAATTGAATTGACTTGAAAACCCCTTAACAAGCATCATTCATGGTGTCCACAACAGAGATGAAAAGTGATCGAATAGAAGTGGCAAAGAAAATGGAAAGGAATAAGATGGATGTTTTGGTCCTCATCTTATCTTGATTATTTTGAGGACATACTTCAATCTTGGGTCGAATGATTTCTGTTGATTTCTTCATCTTGCGGCTATATTTAATACCTGGTAGTCTCTCAATCATCTATTTCTGGCTGTTGTGCTTGGACTTGTCCAGGCAGGGAAACTGAGGGAAATTTAAATGTGTAGTTACTGTGCCCCTCCTCTGAACTACATAACAAGATCCAGGTGAACACACACACACACACACACACACACACCTCTGAGTGGCCCTGTAACTGCAGTAAGACCGTTTGGTGTTGCAGTAATGAGATATGTCGATGACTGAGGTGTTAAAAGTTGCTCTGGGCTGCTGCAGGCAACAGAGGGACCACCACCTCAGTGCTAAGCTGCTGCTCATTTCACAATCACTTAATACATTTGCTACCCCACTAGAGCTGCACTGCATAGTTACACTAAATGCACATGCATTCAAACACACTCTCATGAGTCTCAGGATGTGCATGCAGGTGTGTGATTGAATGCATTTATGTTAAGAGAAACAATACATGTGTATTCAAACACAAAGTACAAACATGTAACATCATGGTGACCCTGCATGTAATCATCTCTGTCCCCGGGGTACACTCGGCTGTATGCTGTTGGTCACGCTCCGGCCCAGAAAAGCCGCTCTTTCATCAACATCTCCACGGCAACCACGCTCTTAAGTCCCCGTGACAACAAATTCCACCTGGGCCCGTGACACTTGCTGTCTCCTCCTCAACATTCAATCACATCTCCCTTTCAGCTGTACAACTCTCCATAGATCTTTACAACTCTATACTTCACATGTTCTCTGATTGGCCTCCCTGCCGCTGCGCTCCACTCAATCACCGACTGGCTTTTCTTTTCCATATTCTCATACCTCTCTTATGTTCTGCATCACTGGACGAACCAACCTGCCAATGGGGGCCTGTTGCAAAAATGAGCTGGAGGCCCTGAAACACCATTCTGCCCACACTGTTTGCATTAGTGTATACAACTACTCGTCTAGTGCAATGTACATGAAGGAGTACATACGGCTTCCTCATTATATCCTGCTCGGAGCCCTGGAACCCCCAACCAGAATTCCTCCAGGGGGTTACCTGGTTGCAGGTTTGCTGTTTCTCACTAAACTTGTTTTGCACTTTTTAAACACATGAATTACTGATCATGTTTTTGAAGAAAAATAAGCCTTAAATTTGATTTTTACATGCTCTTTTCTGTCCATTATCAAGAAAGGGGACACAATATTTGCAACACCTACCATAAAGTATAGTATTTATGTGGCTAGAATGCTTTGGTGATGCATAATCCAAAGTAATTTGAAATTGATTACATACTACAAACAAATTGAGGCAATTTGGGGTCCCTCAGTAACTGGAACTTTGTTTCCCTATTGATAAACCAGCCTTGAGTGGATGTGGAGAGAAAATATATATTCATCTGTGTTTGTAAGGTATTGAAAGTAAAAATGAATAGTACTGAAGACGGTTTCATCAGTTAAACTGTGTAGTGACCCATCTGATCATTTTTACTGCACAAAGGATCTAATTGATATATTTTGAACATCTCAAAGTGCTCTGCTGCCCCCATGTGGTTGCACTGTTAACTTTTTATTCTGAGCAGCCCAGGGACGTAAACCTGATGCATGATTGTCCTCTTCTTATTCATGTAACGTTTGACATTCACAGGGAAACCAACCCTTTACAAACACCACTGCAACACAATGTTTGTGAATAAGCACTAAACCAGTGGCATCGTCAGGTGGTGCTTAACCCAATGCAGGCGAAACATAATGTAAAACGTTATATGATGTAAATAGTTTTTATTTTTATTGTGTTGGTTAAGATACTGAATACGTGGCTCATAGAATACAAAGAAAAAAACCCTCAATGCACCTGTCTTCTTAAATACATCATGATCGATAACCATCTGTATAATGAGTCTTTATCAAATTAGTCATATTAAATGTACTTTATTGTCACAATGGGAACATTTTTACTGAGCCAAAGTGCTACAGCAGCTGCAGAACAATACATTGTGCAGCAAACAACAAAAAACATACACAGGGACATATCGTGCAAGACCCAGAATAACAGTGCAGAATAAAAGTGAGTTGAATATTGCACCTTCTGATAAAACACTAAAGACAACACGGAAGTAGAAGAAGATAATTATAAGACACTGAGTCATGATAATGAAAAATATTCTCTGTGATTTGTTTCCTTTTGTATCTGAGGCCTTGGGGAGCCCGCTGCTGTTCCCCTCGCGGCCGGCGGGGGGCGGGCCAGCTGGTTAACCGTGCACAGCCTGTTCCTGCGGCTCAGACGGAGGGAGAGAGAGAGGGGGGAGGACGGACGCAGAATGGCGACCGTGCAGTGCCCCAGATGCACGGTAGAAAGAAAAGGGTTTCGGCGGGAACTTGATTCATGGCGACACAAACTGATACACTGCGTCGGTACGGTCACTTCTGTTCAAAATAAACGGGCCTTCAGGGAGATTTCACCCGGTAGAGGACGGATCGGTTCGCCGAGCTGTGTTAGAGCGCTAGCTAATGCTAGCTAACTGATAGCTAGCTAGTAGCCTGCCGCTGTAGGTGAACAGCCTCAGCGGTTAAGTGAAGCTGGCAGGCTAATGTGTACCAGCTGGTTAGCTTCTCGACTTGGCTCCTTTTCTTTGTCCCCTGAGCTAGCTAGCTGCTCACCGGTCCTAGCATTAACAGTTCCGCGCTATCTCACTGTGAGCAGACACGCAGCGTTTCGGTGAACGGTATAAATTGCATCTCAGTGTTAGTTGGCGTCTTTAGCCAGATTTGTTTATTGACATATACACTGGCTATGCTAACGTCATGCTAACAGTCTCGCTGTTGTTATTTGGGGGAGGGGGTTGTTGCTACGTTGGGGAAGCTAATGTCAGTGCAATATGAGAATCACGTTCACTTCAACAGTCTCTGGTAACGCTTTTCCACGAACTGTGCTATTTTGAACCCAGACGCCGGTGTGGTTAGCTTAGCTCACGGTGACATCACACTGAGAGAACACCACAGAAGTGTTCGATGTTGAGATCATGACTGATGTTTATTGTTTGTGTTGTTCAGCAAGTGAGAATAAGAGCTCGGTATTAAGCATTGGAGGTGTTAGCTTCTGTGCTAAGTTTAGAGCTCAGCACTTCTGCTGTGGAAGTTGTCGAGTTGGGTTCAAACATGAAATGGGTAGAACATGCTGTACCCTAATGTCAGACATCGCAAGCACGAATATGTTGTTCATGTCAGCTCTGGATGATTGACTCTCTTTATTTTGATTTGCAGGGTTTGAAAGCATCCTGGAAGGAATCTATGGCCCGATGTTGATGAGAGACCTCAATGTATTTGATGGTGGGTTTTTCTTTGTGCACTTTATAGTGTCTATGTCACAGGCACTGTGTATATTTATGTAATTTCAACTTTATAAAACTTTGAAATGACCTAAACCAACCATGCATTAATCTGCCTCACAATACTTTCTGACATCTCCATCCCACCTGTGGCCTCAGACTCAAAACACATTTGTTGTTATGATGTTGACTTGAATATCAAACATATCAGTGTTAAATTACTATGGTAAATTATCATTCTTTATCTAAATGGGGCATAAAATTGTTTCTCAAACAATACCAGTAAACAGTGCATTTGTTATGGAATATTCTGCAGCCCCGGACTGACTGGCATGTGGTTCTCAAAGACTGAGTCAAAGGTTCAAAGGTTTTATTTGTCATATGCACAACATATACAGCGTACATGTTGGCAATGAAAATCTTAAATCCCAGGCACCTCAAGCAACTCAACATGTAATAGTGTCAGAAGATAATAAAATAAGAGTAACTAAAAATACACTGAAGTCTTCAGTATTATGTTCCACTTTTATCTGTTTCAGAATCATAAATACAGTGTTCATCTCCAGGGCAAATTGCTACTTATTGAAGTTAGACGTACAACTATAAAATGCTATATATTCATATAGATATTCATAAATAGAGCTCACATTTTAAGATGTTTAATCCAGAACTCAAATTTTTCTCTTGAGAAATATAGATATGTAATATCACCTCTTAATAGTGAAAATAAAGCAAATTGCAATGGTAAATGTATATGACTGAACTATGTTTTTGACTTGGCAGCAGTAGCACAGACACCAGGTTTCAAAAGATTATTCCCCATGCAACAAAAAATCTATTTTACATTTAAAAAAATGCCTGCATCACCTTAAAACTAACCTGTCCTTCTTTTATGTGCCTTCAATCGTGTTTCCCGTCCAAGTCCTACAATCACTTAACAACTTCATGTCTCCCACTATCTGAAAAAGCCCCACTGGTAAAAAATTGCTGTACGGTGTGCTGGTAGCCATCATGTCCGAAGTTTAGATTCACTTAAGACTCAGAAGAACCACAATAAATACAATCTTTACGAAACACCTGCATCACACAAAACACACAGCTGTATGTTAAAATATACCCACATGTAACCAACCTCGCAATAATTTAAGAGCCCTGCATGGTTTCAAACGTGAAAGTGCAGATAACCTTTATCAAGTAAAACAGCACAAGTGTTAGTGAGTATTTCACTGCACATTTCCCCATAATGGCCCTTAGTTAGAAATAATACATTGAACTGCAAGTTGGTTTCTATTCAGAATTATGATCTTAAATCGTATGGATGGTAAACAATGGACTTAAATGCATGCAAATAACCCGAGAATCAAGGTACACAACAACCAGTTTTCTGTGAAAATGCTTCTTTAGAGATCAACATGATGAATCTACATCACTGCTCAGTGTGAGGTCTTTAGTTGCTACAGAAACACATCTTGTTACCTCTTATAGTTGTGAGCAAGTATGATTTAGTTCTTATTATTCAGACACTATAAATGAATAGTTACACTTCACGTATTCATAAAATTTGTATTGAATAGAATTGATGGTCAGCTAAATTATTCATTTAACCAGATTTTAAATAGTGATTTTATTTTTATTTTCAAATCTATCTGTTTAATCAGAAACGGATCTACACCCCGAGAACCTATATTTGCCTACATCAAAAGTAGTCCTTCGATATCATATTTTAATTGAGAAAACATTGAATGATCCTCACTCACTGTGTGTTCTTCCTTTAGCACTTGCTAGGCACCAGCCAAAAACACAGCCTGCTTGACGCTATCTGAGGCCTCAGTGAGGTCTGCAGTACCATCTGGAGACTAGACAGGAACATATTTAGATCATGTGTCCTAGACACCTGGCAGATACAGTGAACTCCTTATTCTAAACACTGTTTGAGTGGCAATCATCTATTTGTCTAAAATCTTGTCGTTTTTAATTAATATTAGCGGAAGCAACTAATGAAGTTACAATTACTTTTATTGACAACAGCAAGGGAAGGGGTGAGTCATATATGTGTCATTTTTAGGACTGGCCCCTGGAAGTCAATGCAGTTGACTCGCTACACTTTTAGATGCCTCAAAGTGTAAAGCAAAGCCACTCCAATGATGTTACAGGCTGTAAACTTTCAAACCTAGTCTTGTCTCAGAATGAGAGAACTAAAATTGATGGAAGTAGAGATGGTGATGGAAATGGAGGGCACAACCACACCAGACAGAGTGAGGAAAGGAAGTGTCACTCATTTCTGTTGGACGCTCTGATGCTCTCAGCTGCAGTGTGTGGTAGACGACACTGTTAGCAACTCGGCAGCAGTGACACTACACAGTGCAGTAGGATTTCATAACCAAGCTATAACATGAAAATATACATGTATATAAAACGTAAAAATCATCTCCTATCAGTGCATTATTCTTATTGCCTGTAGATTTCGGTCTATGTGGGGAAAAAGGAACAGATGGTCGAATATTCATATTTAACAGCCAAATCCAATTGGACTGATGAAACACAGAAGCACAGAAATGTTATACCCCAATAACAATGTAAGACATCAAATGTTGTTTGGGAAAATTCAATAGAGAAAGCAATCAGATACATCAAATCCAGTATTGAATACAAGTAATGGATTGCAAAATCTTAATCATTTGTTTCTTGTCATAGTAATGTTGAGCAATAATACAAATAGATCATTACATTATTCTCTTGTCATGAAAATGTGTGAGCATACAGCTTGAAAACCGCTACTGCCTCCTGTCATATTATGTCTAGTAATCACAGTTGAATGCTGCTTGATCCCAGATGTCCCCTAATTCTATGTAACCTTGTGATGTATTTTAGACTGTGAACCTGAAGAGGTGGACGACTGGTCCCAAGAAACAAGCTGCTCACAGTGTTCCTTCTGCAACCTTCCCCTGGACAAACTCTGTGTAAGAATTGTCAAGATAATCCAACTGATGTCAAAGTCATTCTTTGTTAATGAAATTTGTAATAATTATATTGCTTCTTATGAAATGTAGAATATTGCAGAATATGCCTCTGTCGAAAATCAATTAAGTAATTTATCTCTTTTTTCCCTCTTGTAGGATCAAGCACCTGCAGCCACTCCGCCCCTCTCCTCCCCCTCTGATTACTCTCCCTGTCAGAATCCAAGCATCTCTGAGAGCAGCCAATCAGCTCACAGGTTTCTCCAGGCTGTGTTCAACAAGAAAGGTGCGTCAGGTTTCTTTCTTCTTTGCGGAGCACGGCACAAATATGTAATCTTGTGACGCACTAAAGCTCCTGTCACAGGCTTACAACAGTCAGCTTTATCTGGTTAGCTTATTCTTTCTCAATAGAAGCATTAGAGGTAACATTATTGTATTCCAAATAAGTTTGTTGGTAAAACCAGACTGGTCTGCTTGAATTGACTGTTCTGATGTTTTGTCATGAGTTTCCCAGTAGCACTTAGCTGTAGCACCAACTCTTTGATTAACCAGCTTATGAGGTTGAGAGGAGTTACGAATGTGAAAGTAAATGATGTGGTTAGGCTAACACCAGTTCAGTGCCAATTTCTACTAGGGGTAGAAATATACACAATGCGTTACTGCATTATGCATTATATGATAGGCAGTTTATCCATTGTTTTTTCAGCAGCTTGTATATGGTGACTGGACATTTTTTGTGTCTGCAGCATTATTATTAGAGACACAAATTTTGATTGATTACCTGTTTTTATTTTGGGGAAATGTGGCATGTAATTTTTATTTACTAATGTGTTGCCCAATAAGAGTTCCCTTTCAGTGTGACACATTAGTGACAGTAAGACACGTGTAGCTTTTGCATGTTGGGATCAAGAGAAAGTTTCCCAATGAACTTATTGCTAGACATTAAAATCATTCTGTGATGATCCAAAATACCCCATGATACGTTATTGCTCTATGAAAAGAAGAATCATGCTTTTTATGTTACTATCTACATCTGTGCCTTCTTTGTCAGATGTGCCCCTGGGCTGTGACTCCAACATCCCTCTGGTCGCCCAGGAGCTGATGAAAAAGATGGTTCATCAGTTTGCCATGGATTATGCATCCAAGTGTCTGCTCCGCACCAGTACAAATGGTGTTAGAACAAGGACCTCCTCGCCTTTGTCAGAAACATCAGACGCCCCTCTGGACCTTACAGTGAGCCGAACCCAGGAGGAGAAAGAGTGTGAACCTGAACTAGGTGAGTAAAGCATTAAACACATTGTGAATTCATCAGCCGATAAATATTTCCAGCCTCTTAAGTTTTGAGTCTTTAACATTTATGCGATGTGATTCAACTCCTTACAAGTTTACATCTTTTTCCTGCCACAGATGGCGTGCTCGACCTCTCAAACAGGAACTCCGCCTGCTCAGCAAGTTCTTCGTCATCATCACCATCATCATCATCATCTAATGACAAGGCCTCTGGGTAAGAGTTTTTTTATTAATGGATTGTTTTTGTGGATAGACTTTAGTGATATTGGGCCTTGTGCAGGAGAAAGCTCTGTCAGTACTAACGGTTAAATGTTGGGATGCTTCATAAATACAGTTGTAAATTTACATCACCTGAACATTTTTGTTTAAACCCGTAATGCCTTTACACTGTTGCATAGTAGGAAATCCCCATTAGGTCTAAAAGATGGCTGTGGTTTAATGGTTCACATCAATATTGTGTTGTGTTGCTGTCATTTCTACCAATGGTCCTTGATTTATATGCATACTCCTGTATTTGACAGTGAAGTGGGTCAGTTCATTGTAAGTTATTATGAAGAGTTAGCTGTGTTTGGTGTTTGGATCTATGGGGTTGACTCTTTTATCTCTTGAGCGGTAACGTCACAGCAATGGCAGTATGTTACAACATTTGCCAACAGCTCAGGATTGTACAATGAGGAGTACATTGCACCTCACAACGATTTCATTCCCCTTTTTACTGATCCAGTTATGATGAGTTTGATTATTCAACCTTCAAGCATGTAGGATTCTCACTGAAGGAGAAAAGTAACAACAGCGCCAAAGTAACCCCAGCCATTCACAGACTGTCCCACCTGGACGTGAAGAGGCTTTGCCACACACAAAGAATGTGTGTGCATGAGAGACACGCAGCAGCAGCAGCAGTGTGTGTGAGGGCCCAGAAACAGACTGAAAACAGACAGACATGAAACTTAACAGCCGCAGTGATGTTACCAACACAAGGCATAAAGGAGTGGACCCCTCGCTCTGCACCCCCCCTTGTCCCCTTTGCCAAAATCAAACCCCTCCATCACCTCCATCTTGACCCTGCTGTTTGGTCCTCCCATCCCTAGGAGGCAGCGCAGGCAGAAGGAGTACAATGAGAGGAGCTGGGAGCTGTCTGAGGGGTTGCTGTCCAAGGCCTTGAAAGATATTCGTTCAGGGAGGCTGCAGGAGCAGCGGGCCTCATTGCTTTATGGAATACCTCTTCAAACCCTGAGACAAGGTCTGGATGGCTGGGCTGATGGAAGGCTTGGAATGCTGCACCAATTTACACCAGGAAGCAAAGATTTCAGGGATGAAGTGACATCGTATAATGTAATGTCATCAATGCTGGGCGGTGAAGCCCGTCTTGTTCTGCAGAAGGTGGCGGCATGGGCAGAGCGGGCAGAAATTGGAGGAGCTGCAGAAGAAAATGGAGAATTAAGTTTCCCTTCATCCTCTCTTACTTTTTATCAGCCAAGTGGTCTTCAGAAAACCTTCCCCCGGGCCTTTACCCAACTCAGGGATGCTCTCCAGCCCCCACCAAGCCCCACTCCCAGCCTGGAGCCACCCATATCCCTGCGTATTCCTCAGGTCCGATCCATGTCTGACCATAAAAGGTCAATTCCAGCTGAGAATTTCCACGTGGCTGAAAACCACCATCAACGTACCTCATCAACAGAGGGTACTGCCAGTTCATCGACAGTTGCTGCCAGACCTTCGTCTCTCTTCAAGCTCAGACCTCCTCTCTTGGCTCACGGCTGTCCAGGCAGTGCCAACCAGTCTCCTCATCGCCTGGGACCACGTGGGTCCTCATTGGATGATTCAGAGGAGGGGGCAGGTAGTCGGGATAAAGACAAGCAACCGAGAAAGAAACGTGGGAGATACCGTCAGTACGACCACGACCTACTGGAGGAGGCTATAACAATGGTGATGGCAGGTCGCATGAGCGTGTCCAAAGCCCAGGGGGTCTATGGGGTGCCCCATAGCACACTGGAATACAAAGTCAAGGAGCGCACTGGAACACTGAAGAACCCGCCCAAGAAGAAATCTGCCAACTATTGTTCGTCCAATTCCACCTCGTCTGGTTCTGGTACCATGACCAGTTCCACAAACTCAGGGACTCTTGCCTCAGCTGCTGACACAAAGAGGTTCTAGACCACAAAAAGCCTCCAGAACTCCTCAACACTTGAACCCATCACCTCTTACAAGACACATGTTTTCTGAAGACACTTATTAAAACACAACACATGCCTTTACAATAGATGAATATTAATATTCAGGTCTTTTAACTATTTGTCTGTAATGTGATAGTCATACTTTTAGCTGTGTTTCGTTTGCCTGGTTCTGAGATTCAATTATAGCAGCTTCGAAGGGCTGCGTTTATAAGAGGCAGTGGTGCTCATTGCAGCTTTGGCTCACATGAGCTGCAAAACTCAACAAACTCCTAGAAACTTGGCTTGGATTCTAGTATCCATTCATTGTTATCAACTTATCCCATGGAAAGACCAAAATAAAAATCTATTTTATTTGCAGGTATATATATTGTATTGGCAGGTGTGAACATGGTCTACAAAACTGAATTAATGGAGTATCATTGTGTCTTAAACTTTCACCAGACATGACTGAAACTTTCAGATTTGGAGTCCACTACTCTTTCCAATTGACTTCAGTCTTTATTGCAAATTTTTAACTTCTATATACAGTCGTTTTTTGGATAATCAAACTTCTAAGGGATAGAGGCATAAACTATAGCATATATGTGTTGCTACAAATACCATACCTGTAAGTAGAGCTAAAAAATGCCAATTGACCAAAAAACAATTATCGGCCATTATTTGTTTGAAATATTTCTGCTTTTCTTAGATGTTTCTGTCTTTTCTACACACATTTTTCAATATAATACAGTGAAATTAAAAAAAAAAAAACTTTTTCAGATATTTTATAGATGATTGATGATTAATCATGAGTGTAGTTGATTTTGAAAATAATATTTGCAGCCGAATGTAAAACAATGATCAGTTGTTGGCTTTGGTCTTGTCCGAGGATTTGTTGATAACAGAAAAGAATATAAACTGCATTTTCTTTTAGGGCTGTTCGACTATGGCAAAAATTATAATCGCGATTACTTCTGGTCAATATTCTAATCACAGTTACTCATTGACTTTGGAAACATCATGTACTTATTGAACTTAAAAGAAAAATGAATAATTTTGGCACTCATATTAACAGATTACAGTGTCTACACTGCCTGAGTGAGCAGGGAAGAACTTCTCTCCTGTTCGCAGGATTGTGTCTGTCGCCGTTCACACAAACTGATGATCACATTTATTTAGTTATTTGTCGATGCAGTCGGATCATGAATCTGGATCATTCCATTTACTTTAATACTGATGTCCTGGCTGTGTGCATCGCTTTACATTTGGTGTTGTGTGTGGCGGGTGAACTGTGTGCACACAAAATGTTGGACCTTTAAAAAATCTGAAAAAGTACGTGTCTCATAAACTCTCAAGCGACTCAAACAAACACAAAGTAAACTTCAATACTGTACTCATCCCGATTAGTGTTGTTAATCTGTAAAGTGAATGCCAGTTGGTGGGATAGTGAGGACATGCGGCAGGGTATAATGTGCAGGTCAGCGACTGCAAAATTATTGCCGCTGCTTATTTGAGGAAATACGTCGTTATAACATTAACCTCACACAGCCGAACTGCAATGCATCAGGCAACATGAGGCACGAAAGAACGAGAGCCTCATTGCAAAACAAAACGCGGGATAATTATCGTTTCATGTTGACTACTTTTCTGTTGTAATTAGTAGTTTGTTTTCATCTCGACATGATTTGGTTTTATTTCTAGGTGAAAACCCGCGGTGATTGTTGGCCATCTGATTGCTCAGGATCAAGCATGAGAAACACAGCTGTAGACTTCTTAAAGCTAAGAAATAAAAGTGTGACTCTCATGTTTGTTTGTTAGGTTATTCAGGTTTGATTCAACTCTTAAAGCTCCTTGTTAATGGAGTGATGATGATGATTGTCATTTGCAGCTTTCTATCTGTCTGGGTATCATACCTGGGTTACTGAAGTGACTTAGAGCCATTGTAACAGATTAAAAACTCATATTGTTAGACACGTGTACAAACAGGGAGATTGTACAGAACAACTCCGCTGCGGTGGCTACATATTCACTATGAGTTTCTGTTAAAGAGATTAGTTAATGATAGCCATTTTTGTGTCCACATAGTTTCCTAGTCTAATTGTGCAAGCATTGTACTGAGTGTAGTCGGAATGCAAATGTGAAGCATGTTTTTCAATGTGCACTGATAAGCTTGAGAAATGTTATGGTATATGTGTACTGTTTGTGAAAGATGTTTAATTACCACAGATACTTACTACTTCTGCTACTGTAGCTGTATTACTGTAAACCTCATACATAACTGCTGCTTGTGACTTAACTTTACGGGGCCGTCTCCCTCTGGCACAGAGAAGCGTAGCTACAACAAAAGACCTTCAACAAATGCGATTCCAGGGCATCATGCATTTTGTGAAGCCTAAATGACAGACGAGTGTCTAGTGTATGGATAAGGTCAGTTGTTATAGATGGTTGATTGTGTAGACTACTGGATGGGCCTCTGAGACGGGCCTATATCCATTAACAGTGCTACTACCAAAGCAGCAGTTCAGGGTTGCCCACACAAAGCTGCTTCAATTTATTTTGCTGGGATGTCAACCTGCCTGTTTGTGTCTCTCTCTATTTATCTGCGTCTCTCTTTCTCTAACCTCATTGCCACATATACCTCTGAACTATATCTGCCTATAGCCCACTGTCAGGTTTCACATTAAAGCCTCTGTGTTATGATACTTATTATGCTGGGGTAGGAGCTTTCATTAGCGTAGGGACACTTTTTTGTTTGTCTCTCAAGGGAAAAAAAACACCTAAGTGTAAATGTATGGGCATCAACAACACTTAAACTTTTCAAATGAATTATCATACAGCCAGTTGGCCATGGTTTAAATGATGTCCTGTGGCATTTACAGGAGCTCGGCCATGTTCTTGGCTAAGTATTTATCCTTATTGGTAATCTTTGTATGAGTTTTTTCTAACTTTAAGGTGAATTGTAATGCAATTTTATTTTTCAAAGCATTTTTGATCAGATTGTGTGGTATTTCAACCTTTCTAATGTATAGACATACTGATGTCTTAGCTCCTGAATGTTTCTGCTTACAACATTACATGGTGCCTGTGACTGAGGCTACAGCACAGTGCACCCTGGTGTCTTTACTCTGGGAATTCTCTGCTGATAATGACCAAGGGCCAGTTTGTAAACAAGCCTAAACCTTGAGAAATAGAACATGTAATTATTTTATTGTGCAAGTGAAATGGTAGTTTATTATGGGAACACACCTGGGCTTGTTTTTAAATTGAGCTTGAGGCCGTTTTTTTTTTCTTTTGAACTACTGGCAAGTCTTTCAAATTGCTTAACATTAATCTGCTATTTATGCATCAATCAATTTTTGCACTATGATTTACAAGAAGCATTTCTATTGTAAAACAAAACCTTTATGTTGCTTCACACTTATTTATTGGCTGTACTTCAAAACTGTGATTTTACTAGTTTGATTGTTGTAGTTCTTGATTTGTAATGGGGCACTTCGATGCAGTGTGAAATGTATATTGCTAAAACTGCATGAAAGCTTTTAAATGTTAGCTGATATAATTTATTTTGTCCTAAGATGACTAACCTAAGTATTGTGCTTGTTTGGTGCTTATGTTAAAAATTATTTATGTGATTTGAAAAAAATGATGTGGTTATCATACCAAACTCAACAGTAACACTACAGAATGTAACTCTTACTATGTCTGACCTGACACGGTCTGGGCATGTACAGTACTTAAAAATCTGAAAATACTATCCTATATAATTTAATTAAAACAATTTTAATGTAAAATCAATGACTGACCTTTATCGTAAAATTTACCGCAGGATGATGAACGTTGAGGTTTTTGAGTTGGTTTGTAGGTGACTCATCTGTTGAAAAGAACGTTTTTGTTTTGAGCGTTTCTACAATCGTTCCTTCTGCTTTCAGCAGAATGTTATCATTTGCCTTCAGCAACTCCTCAATAAAACAGTTCTCTAATCAGTGACCTGTCATATTTTTGTACTAAAACAGCGGTTTGTGTGGCAATCCTGGCTCGAAAATGCCAGTTAAGTGTTTGTGCTCTACAATTGAATAATTCCAGTTCAGAATAGTTAGACACGTGAAAGTCGCAGGGTTCTGTCAAGCTTTCATTTCATCAACATAAAATACATTTAATATTTTTTGCTGGTAAATTATAAGTATAATACAAATAAGATGCTAGTAAATGCAGACTGTACAGTGATCTACTGTATAGTTGGCATGTGCTGCTGGCTAACACTAATGCATGACGGAAATGACAATCTTATTTTTGTGTTGTTTAAAACATGTTATGATTTGGTTGTTACTCTCTGTAAGTACTTACTTGTTTGACACCAGCTCATCTTTGAGTAAAACCTAACTCTTATCTTTGCATTTTTGACTCTAGCTCCCTGCTGCCATCATTTAAAGAAGTGGGAGATCTGGGACAGCAAGGGAATAAGTGTCGTCAGAGATCTGCATTGGATGCTGTTCTAAGCACACTTTGTCCAGCACACCGTTCCTTACTCTACCAGATCCTTAAGCTGGCACACCAGGAAAAATTGCAGTCTTTGCTTGAACAGAAACCTGCGGGTCAAGCTGAATCCTACTCCTGTCACTGTGGTGTAAACCCACATGATAATGTTACCCCACATGCAGTCACACTTTGTGAATGTAAAGCCCATAACGGCAGCCTCTACTACCCTTTAATGGATCGTGATCATCAAGGTCATGGCAGCACACCATGCCATTCAGGAGACTCCAAGTCCAATTGTAGCATTAATCTCTACCCTTTAAAAGACTGTAAAAATGATGGTTCTCTGGGTTCAAGCTATTGCTGTGTGCAGAGGTGCAGGATGGAAACCTACACTGTTCTGTCCCCCAAGAGACTGCACTCCATTTCCTGCCAAAGTCCGGCTGCAGGTCATATCAACAACATGGTGTGTTCATTTATATCCTCTCTTACATTATCCAAATCTCCTTCACTGTGCACTCCCTCCTCTACTTTATGCCCTTCCTCATCGATCTGCTGTAACCAACACACTCCCCACCCATGTCACTGTTATTCAAACCATACCTGTCCAATACAGGTAGGGAGCACAATAGAAAGAGGGGCAATCGACGGGGATCCTCCTTGTCCTGTCCTGAAGAGGGAGAGGAGTCCCTCTCCTCCCCCCCTTTCCCCTATCCCTTCAGACATCAGTAAGAAAACTGATGAAAAGCCACCCTCCCTCCTACACCATAGACAAGAGGAGGAAAGTGACATAATGGTTAAAAATGATGTTGTGAATGGAAGCCACCTCAAAGCAGATGTGAGTACAGATACAGAGGAGGAGCTACAGAGTAGGACCCTAAGAATTAGTCAGGCTGCGCAGAACCCAAGCGGGACTTTACTGCAGGACGTTGTGAATCGCTTCAGTGAGAAACTGGAGACAATCAAACCTCTAGAGAAAGACCCACCTCCAGTTTCTTTAGCCGTTAATGTTTCTGAAAAGGAGCAGCTGCAGTCTCCATCAACAAGTCAAAACCTGCAGTGTCATGCTGATGCCCATCTGACTGAAATTATCAACAAAGTGCTTCACAGAGGCAATGGTTGTGACTACAATCTCACTGAGCTGTTCAATGGCCATGATAGCAAAGAGCCCAAGACCCCTAATACCCGTTCCAGGCGTCGCCAGGAAGTCCTTACTGCTATAGCAACACCTGCTGATGACACTTCAGCCAGAAGGCATACATTACAAATTAAACGGGAGTTTGCCAGTCTTGACCAGTACTGCAATAGGAGAAAAGGTTCACCAACAAAAAAGACAAGATTGAATGATGGAAAGGTTGGTATAACTACATCATGTACTTCTTCTGACTCAATCCTCGTTAAAATGAAGTCTAAAAAAGAAATGGAAGGGAGTGAAGAACCCATAGAAAATCATAGCGTTGGAGAGCTACCACTGAACATGCTGTCTGCAGAAAGTGACATGGATGAAGTAAAAGATCAAATACAGACAGTCATAGTCACAGAAGACCTTCACATCCTTAAATCAGAGGAGAAGGAATGGGAAATATGTGAGAAAAATCCCCTTACACACCCAGGCACTCCAATACCCACCCCTAAACTTCAGAGCAAGTATGGCAAACAAGTTTTAAAGGGTGACAGTGTACAAAAGGTGGCAGAGATGATGACGGTGACTGCAACCTCAGCAAAACAGTATGTCGGGGCTTGTAAAGAAAGTGGTGAGGTTAGCAGTGCTGGAAGTGATGAAAACCAAGAAGCCCCACCAGGTCAAAGCTCTGACAGTGACAATAGACCAGCTAAGGGTAAAGATTGCAATAGCCCTATTAGAGAGAGGCAAAAATGTCTATCAAACCACTCCAAGGAGGTTAGAAGAACTAGGAGAAACATAGTCCCCCCACAGCGCTTTTCCTCCTATGTCACTGAGCCCAGGAAAATGTTCTTCGTTGCATGTTTCTCTGAAAGCAACGTTGACCAGAGATTACAAAAGGACAATGTTTTGACATCTAACGCTTTGGATGCCTTATCCAAAGATCCAGTTGCTAATGATACCCAGTCTGAATTAGGAAATGAAACCCCTCTGTTCTCCTCTGAGCACACAGGGAAGCTTGCCTTTGAACCAACACATAAAGAGCAATGTGGACCATCTTACACAGAGTCAGAAACTATGGCTGCTAAAGAGAAGAGTCCAACAAAATGCAGTTTGGATATTAGGACAGATGACGACTGTGCTGCCAAGCATACAAGACTACGATCATCTCCAAAAAGGCTACAGATTTTACAAATTGCTTCTGGAATGCCCAAAAAGTCATCAAATAGGGATGTCACCATAAACTCTGCCCCCTGTGCTGATAACCCTACAAACTCCAGTGTCGAGTACACTAGTCCAATTAAGCTCATGTTTGTATCAGCTGTACAGGGTAAGGAAGGAGTAAGATATAGTCTCAAATCAGCAAGCACTGGTGCTAGTTCACAAGCAGACAAATCATTTGACCCATGTGTAGTGTCTTCATGGTCAGGGACACCTGAGAAACAGAAAAGGAAGAGCACTGAATCTCACTCATCAAAAGTAAAATCTACTTCACCACGAAAGTCAGCTACCTCACCAGTAAGAGCTTCTTGTTCACCAACCAAGTCGACTTCTTCTTCACCAGTCAAGTCTGCCTCCTCAACTCCCAAATCAACTTCTAAGCAAAGCAAGTCTATGTCATCACCATCCAAGTCTGCATCTTCACCAAGAAAGTGTGCATCTTCACCCAAGTCAGTTTCCTCATCGCCTAAAATTGGTTCCAGAAGGTCAGGTGAAAGTACTCCAACTAAGCATGTAGCTGGAACTGAAAGCCATAAAACACCCCCCAAGGCTACATCTTCATCAAGCAAGTCAGCTTCTTCACCCAAGTCAGTTTCCTCATCGCCTAAAAACGGTTCCAGAAGGTCAGGTGAAAGTACTCCAACTAAGCGTGTAGCTGGAACTGAGAGCCATAGATCACCCCCCAAGAATGCATCTTCATCAAGCAAGTCAGCTTCTTCACCCAAGTCAGTTTCCTCATCACCTAAAATCAGTTCCAGAAGGTCAGGTGAAAGTACTCCAATGAAGTGTGTAGCTGGAACTGAGAACCAGAGATCACCACCCAAGGCTGCATCTTCATCAAGCAAGTCAGCTTCTTCATCACCTAAAATCAGTTCCAGAAGGTCAGGTGAAGGTACTCCAACTAAGCATGTAGCTGGAACTGAGAGCCAGAGATCACCGTGTGACTTGTTGGCTTTCCATGAATCCACTCCGCAAAAAAGGCGTCCGGGCCGGCCAAAGAAGCTGGGACCACAGCTGGAGCAAAAAGTGAAGAGACCAATTGGCCGACCACGCAAGCAGAAGGCTGTGGATACGGCAATTGGGACAGAAACAGTAAGCGGAAAAGTTGTAATAGCAAATGACGCTGAAGACAATGTAAACAAGAACCTCAAAATAACAGTTTTGTATGGCCGTTCAAGAAGAAACAAAAGAATGGTGTCTGAGGGCTTTGATCAGCTACAAACAGAATTCCATGATGCCTGTCAGGCAGTTGGCATCAAAAGTGACTTGGGCATTTTAATACACAATTCTAAGACCAGCTCAGGTAATATTGAAACTGCGTCAACAAAGGAGTTCAGCTTTGTCAGCCCTCTGAAAGAGTCTGCCCCTCTATCTAGCAGGAACATCAAATGTCAGAAACGGGATGATTCTGGGCCCTCTAGAAAACCTGGTAGACCTGCAAAAGTTAAAATCTCTGGAATCTCTGTTACAGTAACTACAGTGTCTCCTCGGCAACGCAAAATTCAAATGAACAGGGATACTCTGGAGTCTCCCGAAGCACAAATTCAGAAACAAGCCCTGCCAGAATTAAAACCTGCCAAAGAACCTAGGACAATCAGCTATCAGTCAACAACCAGAAGCAGTGAAGCGGTGAAAGGGATAGAAGCAAAGAATGAAAGTAAAAAGAGGCTGCCAAGTCAGGCAGTAGCAGTGCGTCACTCAGTGAGAGTGAGAAAGCCCTCAATCCACTTTCTGCATGCTGTTGCCACCTCCACCACTAGGTCATACAGCCACAGTAATGCTCTGCTTCGGCGCTCTAAACAACTTTTGCTAAACAAGGCGAGCAATGAAAGGAAAAAGGAGGAGCAACAGAGTAGTGCAGAAACTTCAGGGGGAAAAAGACAGCTCTTTGGACAAGACAAAAAGAAGAACATCTCTCAGGACCTGAGCAGAGTGGCAAGGGTGTCAGTAGACTCGATCTTTACCCCAAAAGATACACTAAGATGGTGGGCAGCTTCAGCTGAGGAAAACACAATGAACCAGCAACTTGCCAGCCGAATACGACTCATCTCTGACACCTGGGTCTCAGACACTGTGGAGAACAAAGAAAAAGAAATAACCCTTAATTCTAAATCAGGCACCAAAGGCAACAATTCATTTACCAGGAAGTCAAAACATTCCTCTGTGGTTCGAACACTTTTTGATTGTTCTCCTAACACACCAAGGTCGTGCAGTATGCAACAGCTCTGCTCCTGGTTTATGCAAACCACAGAGACACAGTCTTTGTCTATTGTCAAGAAGGAAAGCTCCCGTAATCCTTATGAATTCAGGCAGGTAACTCGTTCCGCCAATAACAAAAGTTTTTGTCCCAGTCCTCAAGCAGAGCGACTCCGCAAACACATCAAGAAATTTGCCAAAACAGTGCCAAAAAGTCCTTTGCAACATCAACAGGCTCAAAGAAGGTTGAGGAAGAGGAACAATGCAACTCTGTCAACACATAATATTAGGCGGCAACTTTTCACTCCCAGGTTTGCAACGGGCAGGTTTAATCATGGAGTCCAATGGTGGCGAAACAAAGCATTTAGAAACTACCAGGCCACTGTACTTAAAGCAAGGACAAAGTTCCTAACCCGGAAAGAAAGGGAGAGGTGGCAAAAGAGGCAGAATAAGAAAACCATAAAAGTAGTTACAAGTGGTTCAAATGGACATGCAGTAGATGGACTACAGCAAAAATGTAAAGCATTACACAAACCAGCAAAGGATCAGTTATCTGACTGTTTGGGGAACAGTTCTGCCACCAGTTCTGTCGACCAAACTCAGGAGCCTGTGGATGCACCCAAAGAGCAGAACTTCTGCTCGAAACCCTGGAGTCCTGAGAGACTGAAGGAATGTCGGGTGTTTCTGAGGAAGATCAACTCTCCGGACAGTGAATCATTGGAGGAAGAGTGGGACTCCTGTACTGTGACACTGGATGATGGGTCACCCTCTGCATACGTATTTGCAGGAAGGGAGAGCGAATTGGTAGGAGTTGTTAAAGCTGTGAAAACTGAAAGAATAAACATGAAGAGGAGGACCGCCTCCAGAGAGCTTGCAGGTTCTGCTCCTAAATCAGTCCAGGAGCAAGATGAGATGCCAGAGAGGAGGCAGAAAGGCAAACGCAAAGGTCCAGGGGTTGTGTCTACTGAACCACCACCAGCGAAAATGTTGAGACAATCGCGAATGAGGGGCCTGACCGGGCCACGATGGTGTGACTTTGTGTTTGGTAACTACCTTGCCTCTTTCATTGAATATCACTAAAGACATGTACATTTATCAATCACCACAAAGTCAACTTGTGCTCTCTCTTTTCTCACAGAGAACTAAACGAAGCACGAGACCTCCTCCTTCCTGGGAAAGGGACTTTAACATATGGTGCCTTCTGACATTGAGCTGACCACGTGGATTGACCATCCCAACATGGTTCAGTCTTACACTCAGCAGTTATGTAGCAGTCTAACTTAACAAAAGCTTGATGTTGCACTATTTTTATCCATGGATATGTATGTACAGAGTGTTTGATACTGTTATGTTTTTTGTTTTTTTTTATCATTAACTTGCCTTTGTCTTTCTGAACGTGTTTATCTCAAAACGTTTCAATGGGACTGCATAAAGCCGGTGCTATCCCCAACAATCCTCATTATTAAGGAACCAAATAATATTATTCTGAAACCAGTCATTTCTTTAAGTACTTGAAGTAATTGTTATTGTACAGCTCTTAAATATTCCCCCAAATTAATCTTCATTGTTTCGTGGCACTCTTAAATTCTGAGTTTCTGGCTAAAATAAAGTTATTAATAAGTTAATAACTTTTTTTAATTTGGAAAAATTATATTGAAACTTGATACTTTATTATCCCCCTTTGTTTGATACTGTCACACTTGTAACATTTTAAACCAGGTGCCAAAAAACATGCTTTGAGTGAAGGAATTATTTTACCCCATTCAAAAAATGTGTATGGACCCCAAATATAAAATTGGGTGTCAAACCTTTTGGGCAGCAGTCCAATATTTTCTTTTTTCCGGTATTTTTTAAACAAGAGTTTGGAATCTTGGCACCAATTCACATTAAGTGCAAACATACACGTTCTAAACAACTTCATTTTCAGTCGCACTAAACCATAAACTCCAAACCCAGGGGTGCACATGAAGTAATGAAGAAAGTGTCGTTATGCAGTTGTAGAAAGTAGATTCTGATTCATTTGTCGGTCTGCGCGATCCAACTTGTTTTAACTAATATGACTGTGTCAGATCTACTTCTTGCACAATTCCACCTGAGATTATTAATCCCGCTACACAGACTCCTCCCCCATGTTTTGCACATCCCATGTCCTACTACCAACCCCTACTGTAAAACTAGAGAACCTATTTGGTGCAATACAAAACCCAGAGGATTTATCAGTATGTAGTAATTATTTTATTGCTGACAGACGAATGGATGTAAACAAGTACCAATGGCCTGGGATGTTACTTCAGCTGTTTCCATAGCCGTGTAATGTGATCTTAGAGGATATTGCTATACAAGACTAGTCCCCCCCCCCCCCACTGCTTTATTCAACTCAATGAAGCAGAAAAATAACAGATGCTTAATTGTTATAGTAGCATTACATTTTAATCATACACATAATAGCATTAATTACTGTTTAAATGCAGGTGGGAGACGTGTTGCTGTTCCTTTTGTTTTTTTCTTCAAGTTGGAGCAAGAGACACCTACCTCCACTGGAGCTCAGCTAGGCCCACTGCTCTATTGATTATCAACCTTGTGATAGACACGAGATTTGATTTGTTAACACTAATCTTGGATCGATACGTTTGATCTGAGATGTCTGGCTGTAGGTAAAAACTTAAACCCATTAGTGTGTGTGTGCTACTAGGATGGAGGTGGTATGGCCCAGTGTTGTGATGAGTAAACCTCTGTTGAAGAACCTGGTGCTAAACAATTGTTGTATATTTTCTTTATCGTGTTTTTATACTGTCCTCTACAGGTGCACTAAGAGGCGTCTGTCATTGGAACAATAAAGTCTTTTGAAATAACTAACGAGTGATGGATGGTTTCCACTGCAGAGTGAAGGACGGTCAACATTGTGGTCCGTCAGCCACTAGTGTCCACTCTCTGCCACCTTAAGAAATGTTTATTTACCCATAACTTACTGTTGTGGTTCATATTGATTTGACTCAGCCCATAGATTTTACTTTGAGAAGTGTAAACACAGAATCCTAAAAGTCAGGCACCACTAATCAGGTTGTGATGATGAAAAGAACAAGCTTTATTGATATATTTCACTTTTACAATTAAAATGGCAAAACTTGAAAATGAAAGTTACTGACATCACTTTCACTATGTTAACATTAGAAAGGCATTGGTGAAGTTAACTGGTTAAAAGCAACATATTGTGGTTATTCTTTCTGCATTAACTGTTTATAGCCTGACTCTATGAAACATTAGCCTCCTGGTTGATGAGGGTGTTGAGATCCAGCTTTGTTTTCTCCAGAGCTGCGGTTTTGGCCCTCCGTGACGGGCGCATCAGGGAAACTGACTCTGGAACGTTTTCTCCATCACTGCAGCCAAAACAAAGAACAGGTTAAATGTGGGATATTAGATTAAGTAATGTTCATCATGTGTGATGGCCTCAGTCATCATGTTTCCTGAAACACGGATGGGAATAATGAAAGGAGCCTCACCTCTCCTCTGACGACTCAGCCCTCCTGCTCGTCTTTCTGCCTCCTTTAGCTGCGCAGACTTTCCTCTGACCTGTGTACACAAACACTCCGGTTACCCCGCAGCGCTGACTCAAAGCTTTCTCTCAGGTAGACGAGAAGAAATCTAAAAATACACAGCTGCAGTTATGGATGCGTATACACAACCTGCATTACCTCTTTTTCCTCTCTTGGCAGATTTAGATGGATCTTCTGTTGCAGCCTCTGTGGAAAGAGAAATTCATATTTAGTTGTTCCTCTCTGCTCGCTGTGTTCTTATCCTGACAGACACCGAGCAGGATGGAGTCAGACATGTTTTAATCCGCTTGGAAACATTCTGCTATTAAGACCTAATCCTTTTCCCAGAGGAGTTGTCACAAACTATGGTAAATCTAGTTAGAGAGACTCTGAGATGACAACATTGTTTATGGCTGCTCAGCGGGGCGTCGGGTGCTCTTTTATACTGATTGTCACTTAATGTACCATCTGCATTGACATCCACTGGTTGAAGTGCGCTGGCGCTGAGGAGCTCGGCCTGTTCTCTTGAGTCCACAAGCTGATTAAACATCTTTTCCAGAGCTCGGAGACACACACGATCCTTCACCACCTGAAGAGAAGGACATCAGAAAGATGACATATGATTTTATTCAACAGACACACATGCACATAAAGGCCTCATCTAATCAAGTAATCTATTTCAGAAGAGTTAATGGCATCTGTTTTGATAATTGATTAACTTTGTTTTTATTCAAGCAAAAAATACCAAACATTCACACATTCCATCTTTTGAATTGTGAGGATTCCTGTTTTATGCAACAGTAAACTGAGTATTTTGGGATTTTACACAGATGGTCTAAATCTTTCACTATTTTCTAACGGAGAAAATATCTTAATATCTAATTGATAATACAAATACTAGGAACATAGATAAACATAAGTATATGAGACTGTTTTAACTGGATGTTTGTGTCTACCTGTACAAGCTGCTGCAGCAGCGACTGCAGGTCTTTCCTGACGGTCTCGTCTCTGCTGAGCTCCAGGTTACTGAGAGTCTTAGCATAAAGACGAACTTCAGGGGCTGTAGGGTCCTTCAGCATCTCTCCACACATACGCACTGCCAAGTAGTCATGGACACACACCTCCTGAAGACAAACAACCAATAAATTCAACTAGTTTTCATTGTGAAGTGACACATGCAATTTGCAGATTTCATCTGTGCTGGAGAAGTGAATATACATTTCTGGGATGACAGCTGAGTGAATCAATAAAAGAACAGGCTACTATTAAATAACACATTCGTCTCAGAGGATGTTTCCTACCTCTGTTTTGGTTGAAGGTTTAATAAGTGCACTTGGTCGAGTCAGCTCCACAAGCAACTCGACCACGTTGTTCATATCCACCTCAGCAAGAGGAGAGGTGGCCGGAGCATTCATCAGAGTCCGAACTGTTGGAAGGAAACTCTCCTCCACAACCTCCTGGTGGACCCTAATGCACCACAAAGACCACCACCTTATTAGTTTGTATTGCATAACGAATCACTCCCTACAGACAAGTCATGATTATAATAATAAGAGGGAAATACACAGTTTAATAAATTAACCACATAGCTCATAGTTTGCTGGTATATGAGAACATGTGTGACCTGCTCTCGCGGGCGTAGAGTTGGAAGAAGATGCCGAGGCAGTGTCGCAGGCGGGTGTCGTCCTCAGTGACAGGATTGTACCACAGCAACACCAGACGTGACAACATCTTAGCACTGGAGATGCGGCCAGTGTACATGAGCTTGGCCAGGCCTTCTGCTGTTTCTGTACGCAGGTCAGACACCTGAAAATGTGGAACAAACACAAACCTCAATAATACTTTAACACTTTACATCCAAAATGTGTGAATACGTAGTCAGGCTCATGAAACAGCTCACCTCACTGTCCAAGAACTCTGAGAGCATCACAAGGATACTCTGCGCAGTGTCCTCTGCCTTCTCCTCAGCCACCGCGGGTGTGTCCTCTTCCTGTCTGTCAGGAGACTGGGAGGGCGGGGCAGTCTGAGTGGCAGCTGTTTCAGAGAGCAGCTGGAAGCCGAACAGCAGCAACAGGTCGATGATGGCCCGCAGAGCACTGATACGGATCTTTACCTCGTCCAGCTGGGCAATCTGGAAAAGAAACAAATACACTTTAAATACTGGCAGTAGAAAAGTTGAGCAGAGTAACAGAAAAAGATCAGATCTGTGGATGACTGGTTATCTCGAGGGTACTGATGTTGCTGTTGAGTTGACTGTGTACATTTTAAATTTGCAAAATAAATTTAAATCTTCTCTCTTGAGCTGATATAAACGTCTCAGCAGCTAAAATCTCAAAGCTTCAGCAATTAAAACAGAATCTATCATCACAGGCGGATACAACTGGGGATTTAAATGTGAAAACACTTTGGGATTCATTTACTGTCAATCATTTCTGATTGATTTAACATTTGTAGTGTAGTGTCACCTGGAGCAGCAGGACCATGTGAGCTTTGGCCAGCTCCTTGCTGTGCAGAGTGCATGTTCCCAGACACACCACGGCCATGTTGCGGACAGCAGGGTGAGCATTTGCTATGCTGGGCAGGACCTGACACAGAGAGACATATTGATTCACTGGTTTCATAACGTGTAAAACAATTAACAAATCACGCATGAATTAAAGGTCTGATTTGGTTTGTCATCCTCAAGAGTTTAAGGCTCAGCTTTGACCTCTAATGGTCATAATTTACACTCCTGTCAAAATTCAGTAAATGTTACTACATTTGGCATCAGACATAACTATATGAGATGGCCTCCTGATTTATCACAGCCACCTATTCTCCTTAATCATCATATAGGGAGTGACATGTTTCCTACATTTGAGCAACTGCAAAATAAAATGAATTCACCCCAATTTCACCTTTTCAGATTGCCCCAGGGTTTCAGTTATTTTGAAGCTTGCTTTTCTGATTTGCCTGAGGATTCACTCTGGTTTTCTTGTGAGCCTTTAAAAATCTCACCTTTAATTTATAGTTTCATCTTCTCTGAGAAGAGCATTGAAAGAGTTGCACATGGCCTCAATCTGTGCACGGCATGGCCTAACTAAAATCAAGGTACCGCATCTGTCTGTAGATTCTATCTGGGAGACACTCAGACTCTCATCTCTCATTCTAGCTATAACTGAAACTGGCCACTTGTCATTGGCAGACAAAACAGTATATGCAAACCAAAAGTATGGGTAGTAGCTTGGGTCTGATACTACTGGTTTCTAAAAGGTTCAGTTGGAGTTTGTGAACTGAAAATCTATGGAAACTCAAGTGACAAATATAATGAGGGGTGTGAATATACCAGTGAGGACATTAGGGCACTTATGGTTGGACCAATCCGAGTCTTAATGGTCATCTGCTTCAGCAGCTCAGCACACATAGTTAAACATCTCAGAAGAGAATCTGGATCATTCTGAAACACAGAAAACAAAAAAACACATTTTCAAGACTTTTCCTGGAAAATCTCTATCTAGTTTTAATAAAATGGACAGACAAAGAATCGTGCTGCCTGTGTGGATATTAACCTTCTCAGAGCGGATCTCTTTGTCAGCTGGCTGGTTGATCTCTGCGATTTCCTGGTGGATCTGGTTCCTGTGGTTCTCCAGCTCTGTGATGGAGTCTTTCAGCTCTGCAGCGCGGCTGAACTCCTGGGCACTGATACAGTCCTCCAGGGTTTGTTTGGCCTCCAGGATACGCACCTTCACCTCTGCCAGCTGGATGGGAGGGGGGGGGAAGAGAGGTGGGGAATCATTAATTGGCTGAAATGCACTCCAGAGGATTTTTGACTGTTGAGACCTCCACTAACAGGAAAAACAACAACAGCTGAGGTTCTGGGCCAGGTTACAACTCTCAAGAGAGAACTTTACTTTTACTCGCTGAAAAAGAGAAGTTAAAACACCTGGGGTAGGTTTCACTTCCTCTGCAGCTGTTTAGTCTCCATAATAATAATAATAATACATACTTTAGATGCTTGTTCAAAGATAGAGATAGTCAATACATTGACATTAATGACTAAACTCTGTGGCGAATTCTGTTCCTTGGCCACCAGTCATTGAGGTCAAATACGGTGAAGAAATGTGGTGAAGAAAACTGATAAAGAAGGAAAGCTAATGAACTAGAATACCCAAAGGCAAAAATCAGAATGGCGTACATGATTTGCACCTTCCAACCCACTTGTTAACACATGCAAACCATCTGCCAGATGGAGGTACAACAGAATGAACAAATAGACACAGACAAGGAAGGAATATAAACAGAGCTCAGAAGAGTGTAGATGAATGTTAATGGAAATTATA